ATCTACTAATTATTAAGGAGCAAATTTTTATGCTTTGAAGAGTTATTTTTTTCTTTTATATTTATTTATACACCCAATTCCCAGGTAGCACCCTCCCATAGCCTCCCTCCCCCCACTAGAGCCCTTATACTCTGATATCCCTGCTACTGTCTGCTGTGTTGTCGGCACCCCCAGCCCTTCCCCACAACTTGCCCTTCTAGTGAATCTAGTCAGCCTATCGAGAGATCTTTGTTTTAGGAGGGTCAGCTGTTGTTTCGGGATATTTTTAAGTATGGGTCCTGGGAATCAAATCTAGGGCCTCATGCATGGTAGGCAAATGCTCTACCAATGAATTATGCCCTCAGTTCCAATATGAATCTTTAACATTACATTCATCTGTAAATGAAAAAATATAATAACTATAAAATATATTTCCCAAAGTAATTAAGTAAACATGGTAAGGAGCTGAAGTGTGTCACACCCACTCACAACACCAACATGGTCTGGTATTACAACATGCTTGAACTCACAGTTTCACAAGAGGGAATTATTTCCACATTTTGAGCAGCCACACATTAACAGAAAGGAACTTAGATTCACTCAAGTGTCCTAGAGGTCCCAGAAAAGAAAGCTAAAAAAGAGAGACTGTTAAATGAAATATGAGTTTTAGGATGAAGGGGGTGATAGGCAAGACTTCCATAATCAGACAGAAATTGAAAGCAAGAGATCATTGAATCATTTAAGACAAAACTCAAAAAGTATAGATGTTCATTTCATAATACATATAACGTATCTGCCATTGCTTGATTGCTTTTTTTACTCAAAAGATTGACAATTACCTGCTACGTAGGTAAAGCATCCTCCGCCTGCAAAAGCAAAGTATCCTTGGAAGACTGCCTCTGTGAGCTGGGAGAGCTCTGGAAAGTCCCCATTAAAAGCGTCCTGAAGCCTTTCTACATTCTCCTTTTTGCTTCTCACCAGCATGAACACTCCACTGAGGGAAATGAGGCAGAGGATGCCCATCTTCAGCACTGTGCTCACTGCCTGAAGCCAGGAGAGCTCCTTCACGCCTCGAGAATTCAGAATTCCCACAAGCCACAACACCCCCAGGGCCAGACATTTCTTGGGTAGATGTGGGGCAGGGCAGCTGGGATAGAAAGGCTGGATGCCATACTCAGCGAGCAGCAGAGCCTGGCTAGCAGTTAACCCTGGGCCCAGAAACAAGGAGGTCCAAAGACTCAAGAATGCCATTAAAGGGCCGAAGCATCTCTTGATAAAATAGTAGTGAGCTCCACTGCATGGGAAGGCTATACCTATCTCTGCAAAGCAGAGAGTGCTGGTCATGGACAGTACAGCACAGGCAGCCCAAACACACAGGGAGAGCTCCACATTCATGCAAGAGTACTCCAGGACCCCTTTGGGAGACACAAATATTCCGGCACCAACTATATTAATAATTAAAAAATTTGTCCCCCAGAAGTAGCCAAGTTCTCTCTTGAGCTGTATTTTCTTCTCTCTATCCATTGTAAATGAGAAAAAATTAAATTCTAACTAAATTCTAATTCCTGAGTATGTCTATCTGCGCCGGTGAAGGGACGTTCATGGTTGCTCCAAAGTAGAATTGTGCTGTCCTTTGCACTCCACTGTCACTAACAGTAGAGTATTTTCAATAATTAACAAAGTATATGTGACACATTTAAGTAAAATAAATTACTTATAAAGGTTTAGTTAGACTTGTCTTTTAATTATTATCAAAATAAAACATTCAATTGAAAAAAAAGAGGAATTTCAAAGAAGACAGGGGACAGAGATTATAGTACAAAGCTTGATCAAAATCCCATGTCTAGAACATTGCTCCTAGCTCTAAGACATTTTACAAGACTATCTCTTCATTCTTTGAAAAAGTTCTATTTGCAAGGCATAAATTATTTGCCATGTTTCAGAGACAGCTCATTGGGAAAATCTCTATCTGTAGGTCATTTGCCTAAAACTATCGACTGCAATTGCTCAATGCGGCAGTTTCCTGAGGCTACAATAGCAGTTTAGGAAAACAAGATCTCTTCCTGACTTTTGGGAGATGTCCACAAGACCTTCAAAATGTCCTGGCATATTCTTAAAGGCTATGTGCATGTTCAGGTGACAATGTCCAGGAAATAACACAAAAAAATTCCACATGCAGCACAACAGTTTTCACAACTGGGGAAGAAACAAAGATATCCAAGATAAAGAAAAGCTAAAGGAATTCGCAGCCAGCAGATTTGCCCTGACTGGCCTCCACTGGCCTGAAAGAAATGAGATGACAACAAATCTACACAAAAAATAATGTAGCATCAAAGCTGGCCTCTCAGATAAACATTAAAAAGACAATATGGATGCAATTTTTGTAAGTATTTTGTTTTCCTATCTGATTTAGAAGAGTTGTCTTGTTAGTTTTCTAATGTCTGAAGATAAAATTTGAGCTATAGAATCTAGAAAATATGCTCTCAAGAATTATGCTGTGAAACATGTTCAGAAGATTTTATACAAAATTTAATTAAACCCATAGCTGGGGGTGGTGGTGCATGCCTTTAGTTCCAGCAGTCAGGAGGCAGAAGCAGGCAGATCTCTGTGAGTTCGAGGTCAGCCTGGTCTACATAGTTCCACGTCAGCTGGGGCTATAGGGAGACCCTGTCTCAAAAAGACAAATGAACAAAAAATCCCCAGAAAAACCCAATAAAACCCAGTCTGTTCCAATACAGATTGATAAGGAAATTCAGTTGACTGCCACATGAGCAGATTATACCAGAAAAAGAACAAATACGTTTGTGTCTATATACAACGTCAGAATTTATTGAATAACAATAAGTTCATAAGGGTCAACAGTTTCATTGACAGAAACTTGTCATAAAATCTCACATCAAGGCAAAGGCAGGTTTTTTTATTCCAATCTTATTTACTAAGATTAAATCTCATATGACACACAGCACACGCAAATATATCTACATATCTATGTGTGTGTATATATATATGGTTTATGTAATGAGTACATATATACACAGAACATGCAAGCATATCTACATATCTATGTGCATATATATGGTTTATGTAATGAATACATATTAAAGAGGCTGCAGTAGAGTTTGAAATGTTTCAGAAGTGGACTGAGAGTCTGTATTGGTAAGATAATGAACCAGATGAGTACTGGGAGGGAGCTGCTGCTGGACAGCTGGAGTCAGGGTTTGAGAGTTAAAGTGAGTCCAGCTATGAGGTGAAAGGCTGAACCATGTCCAAGAGCAGGAGATGAACATTCAGGTCCAGATCCAGATGGATGAATAGGTGAATGGGAAGGTGGTCAAGCAGGCCATATCCACAGTAGGGGAGTTCACTGAGATGAAGCTTCAGGGACATTTGGGGAGTCCTCTGATTGTTGGTCCTTGGTGAACACACCAGGTATCAGGTGATAGGTTGGCGTGAGGCCATATCATCAGGGTTCTGTGCCATCAATTTATGGGGTCCAGGTAAGGAAGTTGTACCCTTTTCTTGATCTAGTTCTTGGGCTTGGTTTCCTTGTTATGATTTTAATGTATCTATATGCCCATATAGTCTCAATTTTCCCTGATAACTTTATAAGGTGACTCCTTTTCTATTTTTAGGAATAAGTCACTCATCAGTGATGAATGAGCATTGCCTGAGAGACTGATGATATTTCTGCATCCACATAGGGGGTACATCATCCTTCTCCTTCAAAATGGGAAAAAATCTGCTTGTAAAATGGAGTCTCCTAGGGCAAGGGACAGTCTGAAAAACCACTATTTTACATACTATAGAGCATAACCTTACATCTGTTCTTTCTAAGGAGACGCAGTACTTTCCAAATCATAATCATCATCAATGATAATTAATTACCATAAGCTTTTAAGTTAATCATAGCTATCATCTTGTATTTTATTTTTTTGTATATTTTTATGGAATTTTTGTGTATTTATACACAACATTTTAATCATCTTTATACCCCCTTCCCAGTGTACCCTCCTATAGCCTCCACTGGATTTCATGTATTCTGCTGTTTATGTTAAGACCCATTCAGTTAAGTTAGTATTCCATCTTGTATTTTAAAATTCAGATATTTCGAGACAAGATCTTACTATATAACCCATTAACAAGAATATCCATTCTTTTCTCCCACATATGGATTATTCTCCAGGATAAATCATATCAGCATAAATCATAAGTCATAATTATCTGAAATAAGAATTCATGAGTTGATTAGTCTGTGAACTCTACAAGCAGAGCTAAATTAGAAATCAGAAATAGAATGAGGACAAATTAGAGAAAATGTGAAACTTTTTAGAGAATATCTAAGTTGTCCTGACTTGCATTGCATGTTAATTGAAATGCAGGCAGAAAAGATTGTTCTGACAAGTCACAGACACAACTGAGGAGCAAGCATTTTGAAACTGGAATAAAGACCTTTCTTGTTAGAAAGTTGCAAAGTGTCCACCAAGTCTTGGGACAATATAGAAGATATACCATAAAAGTGATGAGCTAGGATACTGGAGGAAGAAATTTCAAAGCTGAAGAGGCCATTAGGTTTTATGTGGGTAATTGTTATTATCATTATTACTATTGTTTTAGACAAAGTCTTGCTAGGTAGACCAGGATGGCTTCAAACATGGAATGATCCTCCTGCCTCTACCTCCCAAGTGCTGGAATTACAGGCACGTGCCTCCACACTCATCTTGCCAGGTTACTCTTAACTGTTCATAGTGAAATAAGAGAACAGAGAAAATACTCAAAGGCAGGTTTTATAATTAACAAAGAAGCAGAATGAAAGTATGGTGTTAAACACAGAGAATTTTCAGTTAGGCAACATATAAAGTGTCTACAATCCCAGCTACTCAGGAAACTAGGGTAAGAGGATGACTTGAGCAAAGGAGTTCAAGGCACAGCAATCCTGGGCTTCCCTGTCTGTGCCTTAAGTAGAGTCAAGATGGCCCAAGCGCAATGTGGCTCTGTTAGGTGGCTCAGATGGTACAGGTAGTGAGGGAGCCTTGGCGGTGTTCCCATAGTGGTACATCTGTAGGTACAAAGAGCTCAAGCGCTGTGTGATCACAGGTTTCTCCATCTGAATTACCTGGGGAAACAAGACAGAGGTGGAGCCACTGTACAAATCCTGCTAGGGCAACACCGTCTCAAGATGCGAAGTTGGTCAGAGGCTCCACAGACAGCCACCACTAAGGCAATGGCTGAACCCAAAACTAAATACAGTCTCATTAGAAAAATGCCTAATATGCCATGAACACAGGCCCACCATAGAGACACTAGAACTGAGGCCTCTGAGCATGTGATTCCAGAATGGAACAGCTGCACCCTTGAGAATCTAACCCGAAAGAACTGAAGCCTGGGCTGAGCTCAACAAAGCCGATTCCCAGTTGACGGAGGCTACGGGGGTCCAAATACTCCATCAGCAAGCCTTGGATTTGGGACATAAGGCAAGGACATACTCTTCAGGTTTAAGGCAATGTTTTCTCGAGATTTGAGCAGAACTGTGACTAATTTGTTCTTACCTTGTCTCCCCACTTTGAGTGAATATGTCTGTTCTATGCCTGTCCCAGAATTGCATTTGGAAATAAATCATTTGCTTTTTATTTCAGTTTCAGAGCTGGAGTAAATTTTTCTCAGGATAGTTCATGCCCCGAGTCTCACTCATAATTCAGTTTATATGACTGAGCTTTTGAGTTGGTGATGAAATGTGTTAAAATTCTGAGGTTATTTGGATTGAAATAATGTGTTTTGTCTGTGACTATGACATAAAGTTGCACTCAGAGGCAAAATGCTGTGGTTTGAATGTATTTTCCAAAGATGCTCAAGTGTTGGAAAATGCATCCCAAATATATAGGCTAATGATATTTGGAGGGAGTCTTTGGGGGTTAATTAACTTTAGATGAGATAATGAAGGTAGAGCTCCATGATAAGATTGGTGGTTTTGTAACGGGGAGAGAGACCCAAGCTTATGCTCTTGCTCCTTCTCATCATGCTATGATACATGAGAGACCCTCACTAAATAGTGAGCAGACAGCACCTGCCCTGTACGCTAGTCTCAGTTATAGCGACAGAAAACAATCTAAAATGCTAGTAAAGAACAGGGATTTCATTAACCAAAGAAGATTATAACTCATATTGCAAAGTGATTGAAAATTAAATACCCATGCATAGAGCCTAGAGGAACTTTGCTCCCAGCCTTTGCAGGACAAAATTCTTCCCACTACAAATTATTTATTACCCTGTAATATTTCCTATAGCTCCCTCATTTCTGTCTTCTCCTATGTAACCTGGACTTTCTTTGAGTCACACACGTTTTGTGTGACTCCCGTATACATGTGCAGGTTAATAAATCCATATGGTTTTTCTTTCGGTACTCGGTCTGTTGCAAATTTATCTCAGCAGTTACTTGTTTGTTTGTTTGTTTTTTGGTATTTTGAGACAGGATCTCCCTGCAGCCCCAGCTGGCCTGGAACTTGCTATGTACATCAGGCTGGCCTTGA